AAAAAAAAAAAAAAAAAAAAAAAAAAAAAAAAAAAAAAAAAAGGAGAAAAAAAAAAAAGGAGGAAAAAAAAAAAGAAGAAGACCACGAAACAAAACAAACCCAAACAGAGCCGAAAGCGGTTTACAATAGAAGGCGAGGGTAGCCAAGATCTTCAGCAAGGTAAGAGGAGGCGTGGGACAAGGAGCTGCGTGTCTGCTCAGCAACTCGCCACCGCCTCCAGCCACCGGCCCGGCGGCCCCGGCCAGGCCTGGCGGCCCCGCAGCACCAACGCGAAATCGCCTCCTCCTGCCGTGACCCGCATTCGCTGCTGCCCCGTAGGAACCCCCGGACCCTCGCCGGGCCCGTGGGACGCGGCCGGCTCCCTCCGAGAACTGGGATGCAATTTGCCGCGTCCTAATAGGCCGGGCCTAATCTGCAACTCGGTTTTTAATCTCGAAATCGTCATATTATCTCATGGAGGAGAGCAATTTTTTTCCCCCTCTCCCGGTGAAACCGTAATTAGACCTTTAGAAAAAAGTTTCGCGTTCCCGGGGCAAATGAGAAAAAGATAAAAACGAATCGGTTTGCGATGAGGCGTTGGTGAAAGTCAGCAGCTATAAACATTTATTGTCAAGGGCCACTTTTATTATTTTATGCCCCTAAAATGGAGAAGATGCTGTCACTTTTCTTCTCTAATACGTTGTTGTGGTTTTCCAAAACAGCCTCTGCCAGGTACATTGAATCATTCGAGAAAGTTTGTTTTTAAACTTTTCAGAAATGATTCCTGCTCTGCGTGCCCATGTAACCCTTCCGTGCAAAGCGTTACAAGGTTAAATTCAAACCCAGTTTGGTTTTTTTGCAATTGCACTTGCGAGGGGAAAAGGAATCAAGTTTATTGTTGTGCTTCGCTGGAGCAAATATATTTTTTTTTCCTTGCATGGACGAGAGTTTGCAACTTCTTAAAAATTTAAAAAAAAAAAAAAAGAAATAAAGGTTTGCTGTAGCTGGGGATCGCAGAGGTGGGTCAAAGAGGCTTTTGTAGAAATAAGATATATCAGGGTTTTTTAAATTAAAAAAAAAAAAAAAAAGCGTGTCGATTTCAAGAGGGAGTAAAAAAAATCCCCCACGCCGGGAGCACGGCGAGCCCCGGTGCCGAGCAGGGACGGGGCGGTGCGGGGCATCCGGCGGGGCCCTCCACGCACGGTGCGGGCTGCTCCGCGCCCCCGGCGCTTCTCCCGCGCCGGAGCTGGGAAAGTTGCCGGCACTAGGGACAAGTTGGGAAGATCCCCGGGTGGCTGATTAAAGCTGACAGCCCTTCAGCTCCGCTCAGCTCCCCGCCTGTACCGCGCCTGGGAGCTGACTTGGCCTAGGATGTGGGTTATTTTTATTTTTTTTTTTCCCCACGCAACTCTCCCGGCCTCTCGCTCTGTGTTTCTCCCCCACCATCAGGGGTGAGCCTTCCCTAACCGAGACCGCAGAACACAAAGCAGAAGTCGGGGACGGGGCCGCCCCCGGGGCAACGAGGCGCCGCTTCCCTCCCTCTCTCCCTCCCACTCGGCGTGGCGTGGGGCCGGAGCCTTTCTCGGGTCCCACTGCCCTACGAGCTGGGTACCGGCAGCATCGGCACCACAGACACCGGCGTTTGTGCTCTCCCTGGCCAGCAAACGCTGCGTGGGAATTACTGCTGCTGGTGTTGGCATTGGTTTCCGAGTCAGATGCTTTAGCTTTTCCAGAGGACACGGGCTCATGTGAAAGGCAGAAAGTTTGTGAGCTCCTGGGCTGGAAAGTTCCCTGGGAAGCTCTCCGGAATGCAAATGGGAATATGTGAGAGAGAGAGAGAGAGAGAGAGA